ACACACACATATAAAAGCTTCACTGGTTTTGCTTCTCTAGAGAACCCAGGCTAAGACACCCTCCCACCAAACACACTCCAAAGGAACACAAGAATAAGCTCCCATTCCTAGAAGCCTTCATAACCCAAATGTGAAAAGTAAACAGTTGAACCTTTCGAAGAAAAATAGCAGATTATGTATGTTTGAGCTCCCTGTACAGAAGGTGCTCTCAAACAGCACACGCAAACACCACATTTAAATGAAAAGCCACTGGAGGAGTAAATAAAGTGCAAAGCCACGCAACAGCCCGGAAATTATATTTGCACTGTGTATCTCCAACGTACGTATCCGATGTGTTGCCGGGGAGATAGCTGAGCCACCCAAGGTTTGGAACCCAGGATAAATGGAACAGTCCTTCAAATCCAGAAGTGGGACAACCCCTTGGGAGAAAGAACGGACCAGGCCTTCTAGAGCACTGGGCCCGTCTCCAGACGCAGGGTCTGCGAAGCAAGGCAATGAGGTAGGCCCCCAGGCTGCTGGCAGGACTCCCACAGGGGGTGGAGGAGGGCAGCCAGGGCAGCAGTTGGCAACTATCAATTAAGCTGCGTGTTCTTGGGTCTTGTGCTGCCTCTGCCTGGTAGGGCCCCTGGAGGGCTCGTGCACATGGACCAAAGAGACCTGCACAGGAGCACAACCACCTGCCTGCCTGTCCGCCCAGGTGGGCGCGGGAACCACAACGCATGCAGGGAAGGATGCACGCAGGCAGTCGTTTAAACGAAGGGGACGCAGCCTGGATAAACCACAGATGTGTAAGTCTGTGCTCTTGAAGCAGCAGGGTACGTCCAGCAAAGGGCCTTTGCTGTCACCACACTTACCTCCCAGTCAACTCTGACACACGGGAACACGTACACAGTTTTCAAACATGCAAAGCAATACAGGTGTATGTTGTCTGCATACAATTGCACATGTAGTTAAATATAGAGACATGCGTCATGGATAAAAAAAATAAAAATAAAAACATAGCCATTGAGACAATTGCAACTGACGGTGACCCATGTGTTACAGAGCTGCGATGCCCTATAGGGTTTTCCTGGCCACGATCTTTATGAAAGATCAGGCCTTCCTTCCGCGGCACCACGGGCAGATTCGAACCGGCCACCTTCAGGTTAGTAGCCAAAAGCACAAACGGTACCACTGCACTGGGGCCACTGCACAGGGGATGTGATCACCAAATTTGGGCTGGAGGGAGGGCTTGAGTGAGGTTCACAGGGTGATTGGACTCTTATCTGTGATTTGGTTAACAATTTCTACCAAGTAAGAAACACGTGAGAATGCCCAGCTTTGGCAAAGCTGGGTGCTGGTTCGCGGTTCACCGTCAGCAGCGCGACCTCTCAGTGCCGGAACTCAGAACTTGACAAGCCCTGGTGGGAGTAGCAAAGGCGGCACCCCACGCCCCAAAAACGAGGGCCCAGCGCCGGCAGCTCTGGAGCCCCAGCACAGAGGGCCCACGGCCACAGCCCAGACTGCCCACATGGCGGCACCAGAGACTCCCCTGATAGGTTTAGTCTGGAAAAACCTTTGAAGACCCTGGGGATTTCCAGTGTCTGGCACCGGGTAATCAGTAACAAACACGGCTCAGCCCAGCCCAGCCCAGCCCAGCCGAGGGAGCCACGCCTCTCACCCACAGCCCGGCCCAGCTGAGGAAGCCACGCCTCCTACCCACAGCCCACATAGGTGCACTCAAAGCCCTGCCCAGCTGAGGAAGCCACGCCTCC